GGATGCAGAGAGTAGCAGGAAGACAACGCTAAGAACTCATTTACACACCCTGCCCCTGGGTAGCGATGTCATCCTGGGGATGACAAGGAGGAAGACAGAGAAACACAGAAAAGCCTAAGCAGGCACCACAAAGAGACCGAGCCCATCTGAAAAAGGCTGCTCTAACCTGGTGGAAACTATTTTAAGTTGGTATGTTTAGTGTCTCCCCACAATATCAGAATGAGCAAGAGATGACAGGTATAGATTGTGTACATTTCCCCTCTGCATTGAATCATAGAGTGTGCATGTTCCACCGCTGTGCCCTGCTCAAAGTTAGCTGGGTGGCTGTGGCCTGCTCAAAGTCACTTGGGTGAGGGGAGCCAGTGGGAACCAAAATCCCATCTCACACCCACCCCCTGCGCACTCTGGAGCTGGGCTGCCACATGCTGGAGAAAGGTGTCTTTGTCTAATTATTCTGCCTAAGGGCATGCCTTTCGTTAATTAGTAAAAAGAAGCCTTATTTGTGCTCTAGGGAGTGGGGGTCTGTTTAGGAGGTAATTCGTGATAAAGCCACACAGACAAGATACAAGGCTTTAAATAAATTGAATCTATGAAGCTTCCTAACCCCATGGAAAGACAAAATTAGTTTCCACAAAAATAATCATTAAAGAACTAATGAAAATAATGTTTGAATTCAGCCACCAGACAGTACATTCCAGAGCCTTGAGAAAAACTGATGGTCATGAAAAAAGTCATTCGCATAAGTGACACCATGGTGTGAAGTCAAGGAGTGCAGACTCTGGAGTCAGAGGGCTTGAGTCAACCTGAGCGTCTTCAGCTTTGTCTTCTGTGTGACAGGCTCCAGCGACTGTTGTGAGGATTAGTTGAGATAATAAATACAAAATGCTGAGCATCAAGCCTGGACTAGAGAAAGGACTCAATAAGTACTAATTACCAGTATTTGTTATTTAATTTCACTTTTGTCTACATCCCCTTGTGTGAAATGGTTTGGACAGCTAATCAAGGAAAACCTTCCCTCAGGGACATTGCTGATATTGCAATCTTCACTAAATACACTTATCTCTACCTCCACCTCCACCTCCACCTCTATCTCTTCTCTGTCTCTATCTGTGTCTCGCTGCTGTTTAACTATCTAATTATTTGTAAATGAACTGGTGGGTTTGTTGTTGTTGCAGCCTGGCTAATGTTATCCAGACGTATCGAAACCTCAGGAGTGACATGGAACGGTAGTCCCTGCTTGAACCATTTACCTGCTTTCCTGACACCAGCAATCACACACATCTGACACTGACCTGAAGCCTCTGACCTGTCCTGGGAGGCAAAGACTGAGTAGACAAGATGCCTGGTTACCAGCAATCATCTGCAATTTCCTCTGAGCTAATGAGATTGCTTTTCTCTTTGCTCAAATTATGTGAGAATATTTTTAAAAAGAATTTAATGTGCTCTTTTGATATTTCAGGTGTTCAGTCAAAAGCCTATGTTATTCTCCATCTCTCTCTCTCTTTTCCTAGTTGGGTAATCAAAATGGCACAACCAGAAATATTTATATCTGCAACAGAAAAGAAGAATAAATGTATTCATGCACAAGTACATTATATATGTATATATGTTTGTGTATACATATATCTATATAATTGATATATTTGGGAGAAATAAAAGGTTTCATTAAGCACACAGGTTCTAGAGTTAGACTCTCTGTTGCAAATTACTGTCCTGTCACTTAACTCCTGACAGAGTAAAGTGCATACTTGGACAAAATGTCTGCTCTGTAAAAATGCCTTGGTCTTGAATAAAATGCCTGCTATGTCAAAGCTTCTATTTTCCCATCTGGAGAATGGGAATAATAATAAGAACTCTCACTTAAAAGATAATGGACAAAGGTGCTTACAGCACAGAGCCTGCCACAGACAATGTCCTCAATTAATGCAAACTACTAATATTATGAAAAGTGAATATCTGTTTTCTGACAATGTTTTCAATAATATAAATTATGCCTTTGTTCCCTTTATTTGTTCGAAAAAAAAACAATAAAAAAACAAACAAAAAAGTGTCTTTAAAGTGTCCATTTGTCTTTCTTCTAGACTGCTAGTAATCCTTTCCTGTGTTTAGGGAATTTTTACCTTATGGGTTTTGGTGAATGAGTGAATTCATCTGCCTCTACAGAAAAGAAAATGCCTGATGCATTTTCTCAGCCTTTATTCCAGGTAGTCAGGTAGACTGTGGACTCCAGCAATTAGACACACTCCTCACAACCTCCCCATCACACACACACACACACACACACACACACACACACACACACACACAAACACACGGCTGCTGGAGTTGCAGGGTCTGGAAGAAACTGTCTGGCAGGGATGGAGTGTGCAGGGTGCCTAGTGAGTTCCAGGGTGACTGTGGCTGCCCTAGCTGTGGCAGCACCAGGGCTCTAAGCCGGGTCCTGCAGACTGGCTCAGCCTGCAGCATGGGCGCCCTCTCCTCCTTCCCATTCCCAGGACACATCCTGTGCAGGGGAAGAACGAGTCCTTCTAGTTGTAGCCACAGGCCCGTTGGTCTGCTGACCTCTACCTCCTCAACATTCAACTTCCCAGCATTGAGTATCTCAGAAATGGTATTTATCAGAAAAGAGGGTGAACAGGGCAACTGCTTTAGGAGGAGCCCTCCGAGCCAGCTGCTTCCTCTCCTGTCTCCTAGGGAGAAACTAAGCTGTCAGAGTTCACACCTGTCCCACACCACACGAGCCAGAGCTGGACAAAAGTGACAGGGACAATCACTGTCCAAGGTTAAAGGAGCCCTGAGGCACCAGAAGATCTCCAAGAAGGCCACATGGAAATCATAAAATGGAACCGAATGGAGGGGAAGAGAAGTTCCGTAATGTGGGAAAATGAAGTACTAACAATCTTTGACTGGTTTCCCTTGATTTAGCTGGGTTACCACTTCAAAACAGTCAGCAAAGCATTTTAACAATGAAAACTGTTGGGGAAATTAAACGGCTGGAAATGGAGGGAAACTGTGCATGGTGGTGCATGCCTGTAGTCCTAGCTACTCAAGAGGCTGAGGCAGGAGGATGGCTTGAGCCCAGGAATTCAAGGCTGCAGTGAACCATGATTATACCACTGCACTTCATCCTGGCCAACATAGCAAGACCCTATCTCTACAAAATAAAAATAAAAAATAGGGGGGAGATAAAAATGTAGTAGTAACAATAAAATCTACTAATTACTGAAAATTTACTGTATGTCAGGAGCTATACTAGGTGTACTTGGCTATTTAGTCTGCATAAAAATTTTAATACCAGTGTTATTATTGTATCCATTTTCGGATGAGAGATTTGAGATGCAAAGAGTTTAAGAAGTCTGCACAGGGTGAGGCAGCCCCTGTGTGATAAAGATGAACAGTTAGACATTTTAAAATGTTTTGGTTGGGTGCCGTTGCTCATGCCTGTAATCCTAGCACTTTGGGAGGCTGAGGTGGGTGGACTGCTTGAGCTCAGAAGTTGGAGGCCAGCTTGGGCAACACGGTGAAACCCCGTCTCTACAAAAAATACAAAATTAGCCAGGCATGGTGGTGTGCGCCTGTAGTCCCAGTTACACAAGAGGCTGGGGATGAAAGGATTGCTTGAGCCTGAGAGGATGAGGCTGCAGTGAGCCATGAGTGTGCTACTGCACTCCAGGGTGGGCGACAGAGCAAGATCTTGTCTCAAAAAATACATATAAATAAAAAATTCTCCAATGACGTGGGAAGTTGCTCAGAATATAAGCTGAACTGAAAGAATACAGAACACTATACATGTAAATATATCTATAGTCCACAAAATCATATTAATATTCGTGTATCTACAATGAAAAAATCTACAGTCGAGCATATGATAATGCGAATAGTAGTGGGCCTTCGTGATATGACCATAGACGTTTTTATTGTTATCTTTCCCCATTGCTCTGAGGTTCTTCAACCAGCACCGTTACCAGCACGTTCTACCTATCCGCTGTGTGACTTCTGTGCAGTTACCTGATGACTCTGTGCCTCATTACCTCATCCGATATAAAATGAAAATTCCAAGTACCCATATTACGTGATCATTGTGAAGATTAGAAGGTGAAAATCATTTAGAAAAAAAAGGCTAGCAAATAGAAAACGCTCAGTAAGTATTTGCTATTTTAAAAGTTAATGTTTATTAAATATGCAACAATTTAAAATATTATGCTGAGGAAAAGTGTTTATGAACGACTCCTAAGCAATTAGAAATCCTTCTCATTTCCATAGAAATTAAGCAATCCCCATGGCCCCCTCAAATTCGTGCAGAGAACCCCGTCGAGACTGCTAGCCTGATCTGAGATAAGCAGGGTGAGCAGGACGGGGGCGCAGTGCTGAGCCTGCAGGCGGCACTGAAGGGCCCAAAAAACCACTTTCTTTTCTCTCCCCAATTCAGGCCACACCCTCCAGCCCCTGACCCGAGGTATCTAGCCACCAGGTCCGCACTTTCCTGCCTTCTCCTTGGGGACACCGCCCTGAAGACAGGATGTCACTGCTGGAAGCATTCGCCTTCTCGTCCTTCTGGGCACGTGAGTTGCTGTCTGAACATTTCAGTCTAGCTGCGCGACCAAAATAATTCTTCAATGTTTCCCTCTTCCACTCTCAGACGTTCATTGGAAATTCTCCTCTTTTACTTACAGTTGGACTTGGATTATCGAAAGTGGAGCAGTTCCAGCTATCCATTTCCACGGAAGTCAAGAAAAGTATTGACATATCTTGCAAGATACGGAGCACAAACTTTGAAAACGATGTCATTCACTGGTACTGGCAGAAACCGAATCAGGCTTTGGAGCATCTGATCTATGTTATCTCAACAAAATCCGCAGTTCATGGCAGCATGGGTAAGAGGAGCAACAAAGTGGAAGCGAGAAAGAATTCTCAAACTCTCACTTCAATCCTTACCATCAAGTCCGTAGAGAAAGAAGACATGGCCATTTACTACTGTGCAGGATGGGATTACACTGTACTAGAACTGTAGAGACAATATGCACAAAATCCCCTCCCAGGGTCTGTGCCCACCACATCCTTCCCAACAGGGGCAACCACAGCCAGTCCCCAGCTGGGCTCCCAGACTCAGGCTCGCCTTCTCTGAGGCTCTTCCAGGGCTTTCCAGGAAGCTGTTATGGGTTGTGCTTATACTTTCATTCCCACCTGATCCCAGGACTTGTGCTCCGGAATCTTTATTTGACACTGTTTCTTAATGAGTTAAAGACTTGTCTGGGGACTGAGAGAACATAGGTCGGGCCACTGTCCATCATATCACCACCTAGAGACTTCCAGTAAGTAGCAAGGTGCAGTTGAGAGAGGGATCCTTATTATGTACAGTCAAGACAACCCCCCTGCAATATAACTATCACTGGTGCCGTTTACAATGAAAGAAATGAAAGCTTACAGAATTGGGGTTGCATGATCTGCCAGACGAGTCATGTCTTTGAGCTGGTCTGTGAGACCACACTGAACAGTTTAAGGGTTGTAATTCTCTAAGTAAATGCTAGGATATCTGAGATAAATTCCAGAAGGAGTAAGTGCCTTTTTTTCTGCGAGGGATAGAGAGGAGAATTTGCCAGCATGAGACCGTCAGACTAGAGCTCCAAGTCACCCCGGGGATTGTTGGATGAGACCCTCCATGTTGGAATAATCCTTGATCTTACCTGTAAAGGAAGAGAGAATTGTATCGTGTGTGTGTGTGTGTGTGTGTGTAAGTTCTCTACAGTGTTCTCAATTCTTTGTATGTATTAGCTCCTTTAACCCACACTACCTATAATGTCTGCTCTGTTGTTCTCATCAAACATATCTAACTCCTGAAATAAGTGGAGTATTAGTTCATGCACTTGTCCAAATCACAGAGCTGATAAGTGGCAGGACAGCCTAGGGAGGGACCCAGGTAATCTGGTTCCTCTTGAATATGACACTAAACTGCTTCTTAATCACAGGAGTATAAAAGAAAAGACACATTGTTTCTATCCCCATGGAGGAGACAGAAATGACCATCAGGAAACATTAACTGACACAAATTACTACTGTGTGCTGAAGCATGTGTCCAGGGTTCCAATGATTAGGTGTATTCAGAGAATAAAATGCCAATAAAGTACCAATTGACTTTTCAATATAAAAACATAAGAAATTTGGGTTTTCCATATCTAGGTATGTGACAAGTACTGTTACCTATACTTCATGTTCATTATCATTATTATGTGATCGTGTAAATTTCTTAAGTGTCTGGAAGCCATTTAGGCATTTGTAGATATAGAACTGAGACACAAAGATTTCAAATAACTCAGCCGATGTTGGATAGGGTAAGTGGTCTAGAAGGGTGCATATTGTCATAGGTCATTAATAGTGATATTCAGATGAGCTTTTGAAGGACCTGATATATTTTTAAATATAAAATTAAAAGAACAGAATATAAAACTGTAAATGTAAAACCCATTAAAAAATGTTTAATCATGGCCGGGTGCAGTGGTTCACGCCTGTAATCCCAGCACTTTGGGAGGCCACGGCGGGCGGATCATGAGGTAAGGAGTTTGAGACCAGCCTGGCCAATATAGTAAAACCCGGTCTCTATCAAAAATACAAAAATTAGCCAGATGTGGTGGTGCACGCCTGTGGTCCCAGCTACTCAGGAGGCTGAGGCAGGAGAATAGCTTGAATCCTGGAGGTGGAGGTTGCAGTGAGCCGAGATTGCACCACTGTACTCCATTCTGGCTGACAGAGTGAGACTCTGTCTAAAAAAAAAAAAAAAAAATTTAACCCTATGATTCTGTGTAATGATCCAAACAAATATATTACTATCTACAAATGTGTAGAGAACATGCTTAAAAATAAATTCTAGTTGCTCTTATTTTCTTTATTTTAATTAATTAATTAATGTTCTACTAGAATCTTCTCAAAATATTTTCATCATTTTGCAACATTTGGTGAGGTTTTCTTCAGTGAGGATTGGGTACTTTTCCAAGCTCCACAACTTTGTGATCTGGGACATCATATGCGCCACACTGTTCTTGTCTATGAGAGGGAGATAATAATACCACTGCCTCTCAACGCTGGTGAGAAGTGTGAAGGAAGTAATGGAAGAAAATGTTTAGAATAATGTTAGCAAGTCTACAACAGGTGTTTGATATAACGTTAATTTTAAAGGTTTATTATTACATGTAAAAAATGAACTTTATTTAAAAACACCCCTCTCTGTGACATAGTGTTCATGAGATAGTTCCAAATTCCAAGGTGAGTCCCCACAGACTGCCCTGTCGGTCCCTCCAGCAATTTCAATCAAGTTTCCTCTTGAGGCGCACCCTCATTATAAGTGAAATTGGATTTCTCTGAGTTATAATCTGCATTGTGACATCCCAATTAATTATAAACCAAATACTTTACTGTATTTCAAATAGAAATGACTAGAGCTTTTAAAATGAGGTATGAATAATGCTAGTGTAAAATTTCAGTTTGCCTTTTTAAAAATTGTAAAATACTGTCCATGTTTTATACTCCTGAGTCCTGAATCCCCCAAACGCTAACAGAGGGATCAATTTTTATGTGAGGTAAAGAAAGCTACATGCTCATATATCTGGAACAATATTGTACAGTCTGAAAATCAAGGAGGGAACAGCTAAGTTTGAAGCAGAATTAGTTCAACTCTAGAGCTGTCCCCATCCCGTTCCACAGACACATTCTTGTCAGGTAATGCACTCTGCACCGCGTCAGTGATCAGTGCAGTGCTCCTGGGAACTGCTCAGCTCGGCAGTAGGCCATCAAGTCCCCAGAAGTCACCTGACCCACCACATTTTTCTCTCTCACCAAGTCATGCCACGCTCTCTCCCCACTGACCGGGGCCAGCCGGCAACCAGAGTCCTTCTCCTGGGTATATGGTTCAGCAGACAGCAGCATGTCCCTGCTGGGAATATTCATCTTTTTCTCCCTCTGCAGCTGTGAGTTGCTCCTCAATATTTCAACATAGATGAGAGATGAAAGTAATTCTTTTTTTTTCTTTTATGTTGAGACAGTCTCGATCTGTCATCCAGGCTGGAATGCAATGGCGTGATCTCAGCTCACTGCAGCCTCTGCCTCCTGGGTTCAAGCAATTCTCTCTTGAGCCTCAGCCTCCAGAGTAGCTAAGATTACAGGCATGCACCGCTGCACCTAGATTATTTATTTATTTATTTATTTATTTATTTATTTTAGTAGAGGCAGGGTTTTGCCATGTTGGCAAGGCTGGTCTTGAACTCCTGGCCTCAAGTGATCTGCCCTCCTTGGTCTCCCAAAGTACTGTGATGACAGGCATGAGCCACCATACCCGGCCAGATGAAAGTGTTTCATTATCATTTCCTCTTTCTATGTCCCAGGTTCACGGGGACTTCTCTTTTTCTGTTTGTAGTTGAACTTGGTAAGTTAAATTTAAAGCAATAAAAAATGTCAACTACATTTTTGTCAACAGAGCAACAGATAAAAGTGTCTAGGTATCTTGTGTGGTGTCCACTGAAGACTTTGTAAATCTAGTTATACACTGGTACCAGCAGAAACTGAATCTAAATTATGAACCATCTGACATATATCACTTCAATAGAAAGTCCCAGTTCGGGTTTGGTTAGGTGAGAAAAACAACAAACTTGAGGTAAGAACAAATTTTCAAATGCCTACTTAAGTCTTTACTATAAACTTCATAGAAAAGGAAGCAGAGGCCATATATACTGCACTGCTTAGGACCCACAGCATCAGTGCCACACTGTCCCACACCACATCCTCTCTTGGGTCTTTGCCCAACCCCACATTCTTCCCATGGGAGCAAACGCTATGGACTCCTAGCTGGGCTCCCAGGCTCAACCTTGCCTTCTCTGCAGCACTTCTGGATCTTTGTAGGAAGCCATCTTGGGTTAATGCTTTAAGCAGGAAGCATGCCTGATCATGACGTTCCCCGATATTCATTGAACACTACTTCCTAATGAATTAAGGGAATGAGTGGACACAGGCTAAGGCCCCATTCCTGTCAGCATCCAGAGACTTCTATTAACTGCAAATGGCTTAGGCCAAGGAAGAGAATCGTTGTGTATCAGGAATCCCATATATCATTATTACAACACCCCTGCAACAGAACTATTATTTGCCCATTTAATAAAGAAATTAAAGCTTACGAGGTTAAAGTGACTGGTCGAAGACAAGAAGTGCATGTTTTTTGTTTTTTGAAACAGGATCATGAGGCCACCCTTGAATATCTAAAAATCACAGTTGTACAACAAACAGACTCTTTGAGGTGATTTTGGGGTGGAGCAAGTGTCTTTTTTCTGTAGAGAAGAAGATGGTTCCTCACTTCACACTAAGGGGTGTGGCAGTGTGATGTCATCAGAAAAGAGCCCCAGGCATCAGACTGTTAACTGAGCCATACTTTGCATTTATTAACTTCTTTAACCTCTGGCAACCTCTGAGGTCTGTTCTGTTATGAACAGAAGCGCATTTTACTCAGGTAAGTGAGGTCTATGTGTCCTAGCCACTCATCCAGGCCCCACAGCTGGTTCGTGGCAGTGTAGGATTGGACCCAGCTAATCTGGCTCCAGAGTCTGTACTCCTTAATCACAGAAGGGTGAAGAGAAGTACATTGTTTCTACTCCCATGGAGAAGACAATACTGACAACTTTTGTAAAACATTTACTGGCACAATTATTATTTTGAACCGAATCAGGTAACTAGCATTTGAGCAATTAGGAATCCTGGTTGAATAAGTGAAATAACAATAAATTATCAATTTTTTCAAAATATAAAGTGATACAAATTAGATTATTTTATGATGCCATATCTAAAATAATTAAGAAAAATGAAGAATACCTTTAATCCATGTACTTTTCCTATAGCAGTACATACTAGGCACCCCATGGAAAAATATAGATACCACCTTGCATTTGTGCCATGTGTTGTCTTATTTATTCGATAATTTCCAAGGTCAGGATAACATATTCACCCTCATCATCCCAGGAAGGCTACTGAAAGAAATAAAGGGGGTACCAGGAAAGGCTGACCTGGGGCTGGAATCAGACAATTGGTCAGTCTTTATCCTCCCATCCCGATGCACCTCAGCCTTTTGTGATCCACATCTTGTCTGTGTAATTCCTGACCATCATGTTCCCTCAGGGTAGGCCACACTTGGTTTCTCGAATCTATACGGGCCTTTACTTGTTACCTTTAATATTAGCTAAAGTAGACAGTAAGATCTGAGGAAAAACACAGCGAATCTGAGAGCATAAGCTGTTTTCAGACAGGGATGCATAGACGGCCTTCTGGAAATACTTGTTATCCTCTTCTTGTGGTTGTCTCATCTACTATTCAAAACAGCCTCAGAGAGCAGCAATGAGGTATCCACAGCCAGATACCTGTGTCAAGATCATAGAGCAGAGCTCTCCCGCAGCCTTTTAGGATCAGACTAAATGGTAATAAACAAAGAGACACTGGATTCTTAGTGCATTCAAATGATAGCCTGTGTAGCCTGGGAAAATGATATTTTATGCATTTGTTAATAAAATTCAAACATCTTCACAATACAATGTAAAGTTCTTGAAGTGTACAAAACCTCTTAAAATATAAATGTCTGTGTTGATAGAATAATTTTTAAAAAAACAGAAAGGAATTATCCAAAATTTTAGAATAATTATTCCCAAGGGAATAATCA